CTAGGGGGTGGTGGCAAGGTGGGCTCAGTCCATATTGTACCCCAATCTTCTCAGTGGCAGGAGGGTCTCCTTGGGCTCCGCTGGCTCCCGTTCACGAGGGCACACGTGGCATGAGGGGCCCAGGTGTGCGAGATGAGGGGCCGCACCCAGGAAGCAGAACCCACGACACCTGTGCAGGAGCTCTGACGAAGCGCACGCGCATGTCCCACAGGCTGAGTGCTGGGAGGGGTGGGGGTGGCGGGGAGGAACTGCTGGGAGACAGGGCAACAGGGCCTGGGAAGCCCCGGGCCTCGCCCACTGAGACCCCTGCTCTGGTTCCTGCTCCCCGCCCCTCCCCTCCCAGTCAGCTGCCCTCCATTCTCCCCTCTGCCTGGGGCTCCCACAGCTCAGATTCTGCTCCCACTTCCAAGTGCTTCCCCTCTTGTCTGTGCCTCGGAAGGCAAAATGAGGAGGAAGACTGTTCCCAGTGGAAGGCGACTGGAGAGCTCTGACAAACCAGCCTCCGAACAGGCGTGAGGATGGCAGAGAAGACAGAACCTTGCGTCGCTGTTAAGCTCCCTTGTTCACGGTGCTGAGGTTACTGGGACAGTGATCTTGTGCTGGGCAAAAACACTGAAGTTTTTAGGGGTCAAGGGGCATGGTTTATGCAACCTGGCCTCACGCGGCTCGGGGTAAAATGTGACTTTAAAAGTGGCCCACAGTGGCTGACTCCTTGCCGGACTCCAGAAGCAGTTGAGAGTGAGTGAGAGCAGGTGAGACCGAAAGTGCCCTGATGGCTACCGCCAGGCTGCGGAGCCTGTCTGGGGGTGCCCACGCCACCTCACAGGCCACTCCACAGTGGAGGACCGAGGGTTCTGCCGCCCACCCAGTCGGCTGGGGACAGTGAGAGCACATGGCCAGCACACAAGCCAGCACATGGCTCCACATGACCTCATGCGTATCAGCTGCCCCCTTGCTTTGGAAGGGAACTTGGCCTCTGGAACGACCTCCGATTGAGGAACCTGCTCTCCCTCTGGCTACACAATGGGCAAGGCGGCGAGCAGCCCTGAGCAGAGGGAAGTGTCTGGAAACCCGAGGCCCTGCCCCGTGTGTGTCCCCTGAGGCCGCAGCAGAGGACACCTGGCTTCCTGCCTCCCTCCTGAAGAGCGATGAGCTGTGTTGTGCAACCATTCCGGACCTGCCAGGCTCACGTCTGATGTGGGCAAATGGAAAGGCAGCTTGGAGCCTTCGGTATCTGTAACATTCCTTTAACGCTGAGTCAGGCAGCCGGACTCACAAGCAGGCAGGGAGGCAGGGTGGGCCTCCTCACCCCGTGAATCTCTCCCCGCCAGCTCCTCAGCCCAGCTGTCCACAGTCATAGGTGTGCGTGCCCATGCTCACGCTCCCAAGTGCCCTTTGCAATAATGTTACCACGTGCAGTAGTGAAACCCAGGCAAGAAGCAAGGTCGCAGGTGGTGTCCGTAGAGGCTGGCCGCGGGCGGCGACAGAGCCTGAGTGTCCCATTCCCCTACAAGCAGGACACCTTGTTGAAGGTGAGGACTGAGGCCGTGCCATCATCACGTAGCTGAATGCAGACACCACGGCCTCTCCACCTGTCACAGGACAACACCCATGGTTGTTGACGACCGCAGGGGCAGTGTTGGAGAGTTTGCCGGTAGCAAAGGGCCTTACAAACAATACAGGGCAGGTCCCCTTCACCCCCAGAGAAGAGGCAGGGCTGCTGCCCCCGTGGGTGCACTGGAAGGTGAGGAGGAGGGAGAGGGGCATTGAATAGGGTTTGTGATATTATCACTTACAAGTAAAACACATATTTGGTCTTCAGACAGATGACCAAATTGTGGTTCTTGTAATATTTGGTCTCCATGCACAGGTCCCAGCTCACACCTCACAGAAACCTTGGCATTTCCTAAGTGTTAAAAGTGTCTTGCTATGTTGATGACGGTAACTTTGGAAAACACCTGGGGGTGGGGGTGGGGGCTGGTGATTTGAGTTCAGTCACCGGTGGCCATTGAGATCATCAGCCTAAGTAATGAAGCCTCCATGGACACCCAAGGGGAGGGATCTTGGAGACTCTCCAGGGGACCCAAAGCATGTCCACATGCAGATTGCCAGACCGTAAGCTTGAGAACAGATGCTCCTTTGTTTGGGACCTCGACTTATGTTTTTCTTCCTCTGGCTGTGGATGCATAACCTTCAGTATACTTGGAAGTGAAGTGGCGATCCAGTGAGTAAACCAGCTTCCTGAGTTGTGTGAGCCGCTCTGAGGAGGGGCAGTGGGAGGCCGGTCGGTCAGATGCTCAGGGGACAGTCCCAAGTGGAAGGCAGTCTTGAGAGACAGGGCCCTTGCTCTGTGGAATCAGATACTGTCTCTGGGCAGATAGTCAGAACGAACTGAAATCTCAGACACTCTGCTGGGGTCTGAGGATGGTGGTCGGCACAGGGAGGCCTCCCCATGCTCGGTGGAATGTGCTCAGGACACTGAGCTCTGCTGTTCCCTCCCCCAGAGGGACCTCACTGTACTCCATGCCCTGGCATGGCTTGGGGGGCGGGGCTGATAGAGGGCATGGAAGGGCTGTGTGATTGCTTGCCCCCCAACTCCAGGTGCTCTAACAGGTGTTCTCTCCTCACAGCTGATTATATCAGAATAATCAACCTATATAGGCTCTTGGTGACCTATAGCAAAATGAGTGGGACTGATGGGATCCTGTCACCCAAGAGAGTCTTATATGGGGGTGTGTGTGTGGGGGGGGGTGCCACAGTGCTGTAGGTGGTAGGTCAGCCAGGTGTAGAGCTGGAGCAGCCAGGGCACCCAGGTTGAACAGTCAGGGGCAGTAGGCCTCTGAGCTAGCAAAGCAGCTCAGAGGAGAGACCAGCACAGGCAGAGGCCATGAAAATCATCTTGTGTGTGAATCAAGCAAGTATCATGTGCCAGGTGCTGTCTAGGCTCTTTGTCTCTCTCATGTAAATCGTCTAAACACACCAAGCAGGCCATATTCTAGAATTCGTATTTTACAGATGAGGAAGCAGTCACAGAGCTGAAGGGCAGAGACCCATTGGGAGGTGTGGGGTACTGACTTATGGGGACTGCAGGTGCCCCGCAGTGAGCCCTGGGGCCTCCAGGCTCCTTTCCTGGGGCCTCCAGGCTCCTTTCCTGGAGCCACCTTCAGTGGGTCTCTGGTTTTTGCAACTGAAAGTGCCTGATGAAGATTTGAAAGAAATTCTGGCAGGGCACAATGGGGAACTTGTGGGTCAGGCCCGCCCCAAGCTTCTAGGCCCCCTTGGGTCAGTGTCATGAGGGTTGGCCCCACTGGTCACTTATTTGAGAGGCTCCCTGTGGGTTACCATCAAAAACTGGCAGCATGGGCTGGGGGAGGTTGTGTGCTGGGTACTTCCCCAGGCCAGGAAATACTTGCAGAGTGATGACATGTGCATGCCCCGGGCTGGGCTTGAGTGCAACAATGAGCACTGTAGTGCTAGAAAGGAGTTGGGGGGGAGGGTGGTGGCACAAATGCCATTCATACTTGTGTCTGCAGAGAAACACTATTAAACACTGTGTGTCCTGGAGGGGGCGGGTGGGCGGGTGAGTGGGAGGTTCGTGGGGGGTGATGGTGTGACCCCAAGTATTTGTCTTTGTAAAAGTCTTTGTTCTGGCCGAATGGGCTGGATGTGGGGGCTGACTTCTTCCCTCTGCCAGGAGGTTTTGTGTGTGTAGACCAGGGGTCTGTAGACCAGGAAATGGGGGTCTGTAGACCACAACAAGGGGTCTGTAGACCAGGAAATGGGGGACAGGAAATGCCTGGATTTCATAATATCTGATCAACTCGAGGTCAGCTGGGCAAACCCCTAATCAGGAATAGCAAAAACCTGGCTTCCCTCCCTCCACAGCACCTCTGTTCTCTTCCAGGTATGAAGAGGCTTTTAGATCATTCTCTGAGGTTGGCTTACTCGGTGACATCACCTAAGATCTAAAGCAGCCTTTAATTGTCACCCAAGGGGGTCAAGGCTGGGGGAAGTGGTGACAAGTAATCTGATGCTATTAAGTCACTAAAGATTGCTAATGTGTTTCCTTAAAAAAAAAAAAAAAAGGTATCATAGGCAGAGAAATGGAGCACCTGGATGTTCTGAGATTCCTCTCTAGGGCAGCGAGGCCTGTAAGCCTGAGGGTGGGGCTGAGGGCAGGCTGCAGTGAGGCGCTGCAGCTGGAAGAGGTCTAGGCCAGCCCTGAATTCTGGGGCTATTGCTTTCACAGTGGGTGCTTGCAGCATTGGGGTACACCAGATGATCCTTTGGGTCAGCCGGGAAAAAAATCGAGCTATGTAAATGCATATCATTCTTTAACATTTAATGCACATTTTATAACATACACGGTACCAGTATTGGCATATCGCTAGGGCCCTCCAGCACCATGGCCCACATAGCAGGACCTGATCCTCAGCACGCAACCCTCTTCTGTTTCTCCCGTGCTGAAGGTACACCATCTACCTTCCAGAAGGGGACCCTGGCCCTGGTCTCTGCCAGCTGTGCCAGCCCTCCCACTACCCACCCCAGATCACAATGAGCCCTACTCACTGGCCTGCAGGCCTCTCTGCCGCCGCCTCCCCCCTCCACCACCACCTCCAGGTTTCAGCCCTGCTTCATATTCTTCTCCAAACCCTCCCAGCCCCACTTTCTCTCTCACTGGCTCAAATCATACCTTCTCAGCAACCCCTCCTCCAGCCCGTGTCCAGCCCTGGCCTCGGGGCTCTGGGCCTCTCCCCTCCCTCCAGATAGGCCCCTCTACTCTGGGGCCTGACCTAGGCTGTTCCAGGCCAGACAAACCTGCTTGCCCTCGGAGGATCTCTTTATCAGCCTCGGCCCCGTCTGGCATTCTACAAGGCGATGCTTCCCGTGGTTATGACTTTGGTGCCTTTTCTAGTACCAAAAACCACCACCCACATCTCTGGGCAAGTCAATAATAGCAGTTGCTTTTTTTTTTTCTTTTACTATTTTTCTAACAGAATTCCAGGAAAAAAAAATAGATCTCTATCATATATATATTATACACTCACATACACAGAGAGCCAGCCCCTGCCCACCAGGAAGGTGAGAGGCACAGGCTCATCGGGGAAGCACGTGGGGGTCTGCAGGGCCTAGCCAGTGCACACAAGGGTGGTTTCCACTAGCCCGGGGAACAAGACTGGGCTGTGACAAACCAGGGCAGTCCTCACAGGCCTTCCCACACACCTTAGGACAACTGTATGTGGTAGCGCTTTAAGACACAAAGTGCAGATAAAGAAGGAATTCCCTGATAGGCCCATGGGGGCTGACTTCTTGGGGAGAACTCCCAGAGCATTATGCAGCAGAACAGGGGAGCCAACAGGAATAAGACCCACCCACCAGCTCCTGGGACCCCTGCAGACAGTGTCATGTACACAAAGGTGAGGGGCCCACATGGGGTCTCCGGCTGCTGTCCCCATTTGGTGCTGAGCTGGGGGCACCAAGTGAATCCTGAGGCAAAAATAAGTCATGGGTGGTGAGCTGGGACAGGCTGTGACTATATGGTGTAGAGAAATCTACACCGTACGCACTGCCCAGAAAGGCAGGCTGGAAGGAGTGACACGCTACGCAAGGCATCAGGAAGCCTCGGTCCCACGCTAGGGCTGCTGGTCAAGGGGCCGAGGGTACTGCTTGGGTTGGGGCAGGGGTGGGACCAGGGGCAGAGCTAGGTTGTGAGGGCTGGTGCTCGCATCCCTGGCCAGACACCAGCAGCCCCAAAGGCACCTGGCAACAAAAGGGGGAGCACGTTCAGGGGAACACCTAAAGCAAAAAGCGGCAATACTTGGCCTGATCCACTAACTCAAAGTCTAGGAGAGGAACCAGCCATCTCATCTTCTGCCCGCTTGCCAGCAGCTTCTTCAAGCTGTGGCTGCCCTGGGCAAGGCCTGCGAGTGATTAAAAGCCCCATTCTGAGACTGGAGTGTGAGGTCAGGGCCATCGGGCTCCCCAAGGCACAGATGGGGGGTGAGGGTCCCCTGTCCACAGTCCTGGGAAGCGAGTCAGTCGTGACTCCACATCCTTTAGGCTTCATGCCCACTGTCTCCTGGGACACTGAGGGGGAACCCTCGGCTCAGCCAGGAGCGGCTTGTGGGTTCACCTTTGCTGCCACAGAAAGAGGTGCAGGGCCTGGGAAGAGGAGGAAGGGCAGGCCGTACGGGGCCTTCCCGATGGGTGGGAGGTAGCCAAGCACACAGCACGTCTGTCTGGCCGCATGGCCACTCTGGGGAGGCCCCACGGAGAGGCGGCCTCCCAGATGCTCCCTTGCTCATACGTGACACAATGTCTGCCTGAGTCCCGAAGAGCAAGGGATTTGCTTTCCATGCAAATCTGGTCCAGATGAGCAGTTCGCAGCCAGCCCTGTAGGAAGACTGCGTATGGGGGTGGAGGCGAGGAGAACCAGGCTGCAGCCTGCAGACGTGTCCCTAGAGATGTATTTCCCCAAGGCCCTGTGCCTCCCCTTGACCACACTGGCCCCTGTCTGCCTGTCTCTGCCCATTCCTGTGGGGCACACCTGCCCTCCCAGCTGCCGTGGGGCCCGTCAGAGCTCTCTGGGGATGATGCAGAAGGGCAGCACCGGGCTACTGGCCTCCAGCTCCAGAGCAGTCAAGAAGCAGTCGACAGCAGCCTCACTCTGGCCTTGGGCCTGCAGCACCTCGCCCAGGCCCTGCCACGCCTCGTGGCTGGTGCTCTGCCTCTCCACGGCGTCTCGCAGAACCTTCTGGGCCAGGCTCTTATGGCCCAGCCGACTCAGCACCAGCCCCTGGGGAACAAGCATAGGGCGGCGTTAGCAAGGGCATCCTGGGCAGGGACATCCTGGCCGTGGCCCCGAGGAGTGGGCGGGGGCTGGCCCGCCGGCCAGACAGGGCCCTTGGGCTTGGGAGCATGGCGTGACCATGCCCTCGATCCAGCCCTGCCTCCTGTATTACCCAGTGTGTGAGCTGATCTCCTCCAAAGGGCAGGCTTTCCAGACAGCAGACTTTGAGTTGCCCTGTTCCCAGTTGGGGGAGTCCCAGGCAAGCCACCACTCTGGCCCTCAGCTTCCTTGGTCACTGGGAAAGATCACTGCAGCCACCCCTATGGCTAGGGTAAGGTTCACAGGAGCCCAGACATGTAAAGCCCGCAAACAAGTGTCTGGTGCGTGCGAGCTCGGTCACCCGGACTATGCCAGGTCTTTCTGCCGCAGTAAGGACCTGCCCTGCTCCCCAGGGACACTGCGTCACTGAGGCATGCATGCTATGGGGCTTAGACTCCCAATTGGCAGGAAGAACCTCACGCCAGGGAGGAGGGCGAGGGCCAGTGCCTTTGCCTGCATCAGCAGATGGCTTTTTGGGGACATCTGGCTGAGCAAGTGAGGGTCACAGGAGGCCAGGGACAGATGCTGGGTGACAGGAGAGGCTCCAGGAGGACACGCCAGGGGTGGACAGGCCGGGGATTCTGCTTGGCCCTGCTGTTTGACTCCAACAACATGGTTGCCAAAGAGACAGAGGAAATGACAGGAATTATCACAAAAAGGGGCTGGGAAGTGAAACTGGCACACTGTACCCTCTTTATCCTCTTCCACCCACATTAGGAAGGGCGCAAGGGGGTGGCAACAGGGGGAGCCGTCAGGGCCCTCTGTCAGCCTCTAGCCCCAGAAAGGCTGCTTTGTACCACCCCACTGATCTGTATTCCAGCCCCAAAGGCAGCACAACAGAGCCCTCCTCTTGCTCAGAGGGAAGGCAGAGCCCAAGCAACATGGGCTTCCTGGACAGGCAGGGCTGGGGCGGGGCGCTGCCTTCTATGTGCCTGGAGCCCCTCTCAGGTGCCCGCCCACTTACGGCCATGTACATTTTTAGCTGGAACATTTTCCTCCTCACTGCGCTCCCCAGAGTTCGGCCCTGCGTTGCTATGGAGACCCACCAGGGAAGATGCACATGCCTGGTTTCATAGAGCCCTCAGAGAGCTTAGGAACAGGGCCAATTAGGCAGCAGTGAAAGACGGTGCTAGGAAGCCACAGGAACAATCTCTCCCTCTCAGAGGTGCTGGCTGGTGAGCCTGTGGCCAGGGGGTGTGAAAGGAAGTGGGCACAGTCTTCATCCATCTCTCCCACCTGGGAGGGAGCAGGAACCAGAGATTCAGGGGAGGTCTGACAGGAGAGCCGCGGGCAGGGCTGGGCCCCTGGGCTGGCCAGATGGGAGCCATGCTGATTTGGGGCTGCCTCTGTCTGGAGGACAGTGTCCAGACTGGCCTGCAGGGCTCCAGGCCAAGCTTTTTCTGCCGGGACCCTGAGTCGTTCAGCATGGAACAGGGCCCACAAGGAGGAGGGGAGGCAGGAGAGACAACAGGCCGCCAGACACCAAAATTAAGCACCAAAAATGGAAGGTTTGAGCCCCATGAGTGCTGCCTGAGGGGAGAGACAGGACAGACCGCAGGCAGGCCAGAAGTCCAGACGGGCTGGGCCTGGGGTGGCTTTTATAAATTTTTTTATATTGAGCTTCTATAGGAGATTTGGTTTGAAAAAACCGCACCCCTGCTAACAAGATGTTTGAAAACCCCTGATCTCAACTATGTGGGTGTTTGGGAAGGGGCCAGATGTGTGCAGGCTGAACAGGGGAGTGTGCACGGTGGTTTTACGTTCAGTTTGGGGGGCTGGCTGTGGTCTGCTCTGCACGTTCTGGTGGAGGAAGCAGCTCAGGGGCCCACGGCCAAGGAACCGGGTTAGAACCCCAGCTCCGTCACTGAGGATGGGCATGCATCCTCGGTGGCCCAGGGCACCAGTAATCCTTACTCTGGGGCCACTGTGAGCACTGCACTGGTGGACTAGAGCGCCCCTCGCCACAGTGAGTGGGCAGCAAATGGCCACGTGCCCAAGCGGAGCAGAGCTCCTATGGGTGAGGACGCTGGGGCAGTTGAGTTCTCCACAGGGCACAGCTCTCTGTGGGCTGGGTGGGGCTGGACCACGTCCTCCCCACCCTGGGGTGCTGACCCGAGCGCCTGAAAGGAGACACCGGGCGGGTGGGGGTCAGGCTGGGCCTGGAGGCCCAGGGTCTGTAACAGGATCTGCCGCCACCTGCCCGAGACACCAGCCGCCTTCGTGTTTGCTAGCAACTCAGGGCTGTTTGCTGCCTGACAACTGGGCGGGGCGCACCCTGGGAAGATGCGCGGTCTCACCTGCTCTGCCCCCAGCCCGGCACTGTGCCAAGGGCCTGTGTCAGCCTGCTGGCACCCCTTCCCCTGGCTGTCCAGAGAACCAGGCCCCAGGGAGATGGTGGGACCACAGAAGCCGCATCTCAGCTCCATCCAATATCCCTGCAGGCTTGACGCCTCCCCACCCCGGTGAGGGGCCGCGGGAGAGGAGACCTCCTGAGTGACCCCAGCTCTGCCCCTGACGCTCAGCTTTGCCCCGACCTGCGCTGCCCGTGCGTAGGGTTCAGAAAGCGCCCTGCAAGTTGTTCACAACAATCGTGCTGTGCTTTGAAGTGGGGACCTGGGTTGATTATGGCACTCAGGGCTATGGGGGAGGCCCCCAGAAATTCCTGACAGTGTCCCTTTGTTCTTCCCTCCCTTCCTGGATCTTAGGGAGGTGGGAACATCAGGTCACCTCTCATCTCTGCTCCCACAGGAAGACTTCCCCTAGGACAGTGGCTCTCCTGCCCTGGTAGGTGACCCTGCGCTGCCCTTCCGTGCCTGAGGGCAGGCGCCCTGATCCTGCAGGCTTTGCTGTTCTCCACAGAGAAGCAGCTCAACAGAACTGAGTAGGAGGATCCCAGACTCACAGTCAAGCACACCAGAGGCCCTGGTGTGTGCATGCTGTACTGCGTGGGGTCACAGAAGCAGGCAGCCTGAGATGAGGACGAGGAGGAAGAGGGCCCACCTGCCTCATGCAGGACTCCCACTGCGCACAGTCTTTGTTCACCCTGTTCAGTCAGCGCTTGACAGTGGCTCCCAGAGGGGAGGGGCCACAGGAAGGTCCCGGCCACGGAAGCCTCTTTCCTTTGAGGAGAGGCTTGTCCTGGGAAGCAGCCCCCAGGGCTAGGCCATCTGTAGGCCAGGCTGAGCGCTCCACCCGCCCCTACCCTCCAGTATTTATAGAAGTTATTTTGAGAATTTTCTTTCTGAGCTCAAGGCACATTCCTGGGATTCTGTAACAGTCTGTCCAGCTGGGAATCAGCTGGAGGCTGCTGGAGCCTCCTGGTCCAGTCCCTGGAGCCTCCGGCTTGGGGACCACAGGGCTTCAGGGAGGCGTCTCTGGTGGGGCCACCTCTGAGGCTGCTCCCCAGGAAGGATCTCTCCCTGCACCTGCCCTGAAATGCAGAGCTGACACACCCTAAGAGGGAGGTCCACATTCCAGCCACTCACGCTCTTTCGGCATTCTGGATTCTCCCAGTGTGTCAGCCTCAACCTGTCCGACTAGACTGGGAAGGTGGCTTCTCTCCAGGCCGCGTACCCCGTCCATTCACCTCCTGGATCTGGGCAGCTCCAGGCCACAGGCTGGTCCTACTGCCCTGTTGGGTCAAGACCACATCTCTGTAGTCTCCACCTGCAAGCTCTCAGAGGAAGAGCCCCAGCTGACAGTGCCCGACCCACACAGAGTCAGCTTAGATGGGGCTCCAGCAGAAATGGCTGCGCTTCTCGTGTGGGGAGACCATGCTGTCCCTTTCTCCTCCTGGGGCCTCTAGGGGTGGGAGTTAAAGACCACTGGGCCTCCTCAGTGAGACCGAGGCTTGGGGTGGAGCTCACGGGGCCGCTTTGGCTGGATGGCAGGGTGAGCCCCATGCTAGGAGGTGCCACCCCTCAGCAGGTGCTCAGCAGGGCCTTTCCTCTTTCCCCTTTCTGGGCTGGTTGTGGGCTCCACCCACCCTGGAGCCCAGTCAGGTCTCCATTGGGAGGCTGCAGCGAGGCCTGTGCACTCATTCTGGAAGCAAAGGCCCAGCCGCGGGCAGTGAGAAGGGGGTTCCATGGCAAGCACACCTCCCCCTGAGCAGGAGGCAGAGACTGTGGGGGTGCTGCTGGCCTCCTGGGTGAGGGAGGCAAGCTCTGGCCCTGGGCATGCACACTCTAGACACAGTGACTCTCCAGCCACTGATTTGGGGGTTAAATTCAGGTGACAACGCTCAAAGCTTGTTCTGATCTGAGTCACGAACAGCAAGCTTCCTGTCCACTTCCTCACCAGCGTTGGTAGGTGTTTCAGGAGTCCACACGCCAATGTGAGGCTTTCCTAGAGTCCTGTACCCAGAGCCAGGGGAAGTTGCTTTCATTCTGGAAGTCAGAGCGTGTGCACGAGGGCTCAGGCTGTGGGGACTGTGCCCGCCCCAGGCTGGGCAGGGGCCTCTGCACACCAGCGAGGCCATGCTTGGGGGACACGCCCTTGCACCTCCTTCTCCTTTTTCCTGCAGTAGGCCTCCAGAACTCTCTTCCTCGAGTTTCCCATCAGGGAATGCAGATCTGGGGCGGGCTGTGTGTAAACGCACAGTAAAGCTAGGAGGTAAAGGGGCCAACAAGACATTCTTACTGCACGTCTGCCACATGAAAGCATAATACTGCATCGGGTTGGGCAGGCAGAGATGCCACTGATGAGAGTCTGTGAGGGCAAGGGGAAGCCGGGTTCTCAACACATACATCTGAGGGCAAGACTCGGGCTGCCTGGACCCTGTAGGCCACCTGCCACAGGTTAGAAAGCCAAGGAGGGAAAAGCCTAGAGACAACAGGGTGTTCTGGACCTGTGGCATGGGGGCAAAAGCAATAGCCAGCAGGATCCCAGGAAAAAGACCCCGCTATTTG